GTAACAACAGGTTTAAAATAGACTTCCAGGGATCCTAAAACAACAGAGGAGGACTCACAGGGACCACTGGGTTAAGGCACAAATGCAGCTGTAATGCTAAAAGATGCGAGCACAGTCTCCAGGTCACGAGGTAAAAATGGGTACAGTTCAAATCAATTTCAATGCAACTCTAAGAGCGATAACGTCGACCACGAGGCGACTCAATACTGTCCTCTCGTCTGTGTAGGTGTTTAGACAGGAAGCCACAGCTGGTCTGAACGCAGAACAAGACGAGATCTTAAAACCGTCTTTGTCTGTTTAACTGTCTGCTTTGATAAAGGCTCTTTGTTTTTAAAGGCTGTCCATCTTTCCCATTGAGTCTGTGGTGAACTGACCATGAAGACAAAGACAGCTTTAAGACCAAGTCGTGCTCACGCTGGACAATCATGCTTTCTGTCACCAACCCCACTCTTAGTCTCCAAATTTAGTCGCAACGTGTCATCTGTGCATGCCGTTCGCAGGTCTCGCCGTCAGTGCTGTTTTCCTCTGCAGGGCTCAGGCGTCGCACTTATCTGCACATGTTATTTTGTTCCTGACGTTGTTAAATTAGGACTTTTTAAGAAAAAGAATCACAAGATCTCAAAATGATGGAAACCACGAAAAAGCTGTCAAAAGTTGCAGATATGGTAATAATGTTCCCAACTTATTCATGTCACAGCAGGGTTGAGAGCTGTTGCCGCCTCGGAGCAAACACATAAAAAAGACACAGTGAAAAGTGAATTTTTTTACACACACCTGAATTAACACAGCGCCACATCTGCAATTCAAATTTCAGCAAATCTTTAAAAAGGTCGCAAGAAAATGAGATAGCACCTTTAAAAAGACCACGAGAGACGAGTTCAAGGCTTTAGTCATTTCTGCTAATGCCCACAAATCCTTGACTTTGAAGTAACGCTGTTCTAGTCAAACCTGGGTGCAGGGAGGAGGTCGGTTTGTAATAATCACTGTTGTGTTTCCCAAAGACACAACACAATACCTTGTATTGTTGTTAGGTGGAGATATGGAAATTTTAAAGGCTTTTCTTCTTTGCCATACTTTGAGACAAACAGCTGATAAATCAGATGCTCGCCAAAACGTTGCCACCACTCTGCAGCCTCACTCGTAGCGGCTCATGAACGAGTTCTCCGCCTGTGAGAGGCTCTCCAGCTAGCAGTGGACCAACAGGACAGACGGACGACTATTACCAGCTGCAGTTCAAAGATGATATTGGATGACATAACCCTTTTAGAAGATTGTTACGGAGCACCGCAGGGGACA